GTAGTCCCAGCTACTTGGGAAGCTGAGGCAGGAGAATTGCTTAAATCTGGGAGATGGAGGTTGTGGTAAGCCAAGATCATGCCACTGCACTCCAGCTTGGACGACAGAGCAAGACTCCATCTCAAAAAATGAAGAAAAAAAAAGGTATATAAAGTCTCAGTTTCAACAGAAAATCAGTCTCAGCAGAGAAATAGAAGTTATGTTTTAAAAAAAGAAAGAACCAAATGGAAATTTTTAAACTGAAAAGAAAATAACTAAAATTTTTAAATGGCTGAATGAGCTCAATAGCATAATGGAGACAGCAGGGAAGAGCAAGTGCATTTGAAGACAGACAAATAAAAATTACCCAATCTAAGTAACAAAGAGAAAAAAAATTGAAAAAGTGGACATAGCTCAGGGACAATACCAAAAGGCCTAATATTAACATCATCATACCCCAAAAGGAGAGAAGAAAGAATGTGAGTACAGAAAAATGTATTTGAAGAAATAATGGATGAAATTTGCCAAATTTGGCTGGACATAAATTTATAGATATAAAAAGCCCACAAAACTAAAAACAGAATAAACTTGGAAAAACCCACATGAAAACACATTATAATCAACCAAAGGTAAAGAAAACAATTCTTGAAAGAAACCAGAGAAAAACAACAGATAACAATGAGCGAACAATTATTAGAATAACTGGATTTCTCAAACCATGAAGGCCAGAAGGCCATGGAACAGAACTTTTAAAGCATTAATTAATGAACTGTCTGGATTCTATATCCAGCAAAAATATTCTTCAGAATGAGGACAAAATTAAGATATTCTTAAATGAAGGAAAACTAAGATAATTTATTCCCAGCAGACCTACTCATAAGAGAGCTAAAGAAAGCTCTTCAGATGGAAAGCAAATGATACCACAGAGAAACCTGGAACCTCAGGAGTCAAGGCAAAGAAACAGAAATGACAAATACATGGGTAAATATAATGGACTGTTTTTCTTGTCTTCAGTTCTCTAGAATATGTATGACTGTTGATAGCAAAAAACATTGGCATTTTCTAATGGTATTTTCAATGCATGTTTATGTTATATGGCAAGGGTCGTTTCCCTGGGCCATGTTTGTGACAACAATTACAACCTAGATGGGGAGGGTAAGGGACTCCTGTGGTGGAAAGAGTCACACATTCCACTTGAAGTGATAAAACGTTACACCAAAGTAGTCTGTTAAAAATTAAGTATGTATATATGCTTTGAGCAACTACTAAAAAAAAAAATCCCTATATAAGGAAGTATAGTCAAAAACACAAAAGATAAAATGGAATATTTAAAATACTCAATCCAAAAAGAAGGCAAAAAAGAGCAAACAAAGGGAAAAAAAATTGTTTTTTTGAGACGGAGTCTTGCTCTGTCACCCAAGCTGGCGTACAGTGGCGCGATCTCTGCTCACTGCAACCTCCGCCTCCTGAGTGCAAGCAATTCTCCTGCCTCAGGCTCCTGAGTAGCTGGGATTACAGGCATGTGCCACCACCCCCGGCTAATTTTTGTATTTTTAGTAGAGACAGCGTTTCACCATGTTGGTCAGCTAGTCTTGAACTCATGACCTCGTGATCCACCCACCTCAGCCTCCCAAAGTGTGAGGATTACAGGTGTGAGTCACCAAATTTTTTAAATAATAAAACAGTAGACCTAAGTCCAAATGTATCAATATTTATTAAATATAATCGTCTAAACCAGGGGTTGGCAAACAATAGCTCACAGGTGAATCTGGCCCACCACCATTTTTATAAATAAAATTTTACTGGAAAACACCTACACCTATTCACTTACATCTGGAGTCTAAACAAATTAATTACAAGACAAAGATTGTCATGATGGATAAAGAAACCAGACCCAACTGTATACTGTATACAAGAAATCAAATTAAATAGAAAGCCATATGTAGATTAAAAGTAGAAGTAGGGAAAAGATATGCCATGCATAAACTACTCAGAAGAACAATGGAGTGGCTGTATTAATATTAGGCAAAGTAAATTACCAGGGGTAAAAAGGAACGTTCCATAATAATAAAATGATTAATTTGCTTAGAAGATATAGCCATGCTAAATGTATATGCATCTAACAAAAAGCCTCAAAACACATGAAACTAAAATTGATGGAATGGAAGAGAAGAAATGAACAAACTCATATATGTAGTTGGAGACTTCAACATTCTGCTTTCATTAAACAATAGAATAAGTAGTCAGAAAACAAACAAGGACATAGAATAACTGAACACCACCACCAATCAACTGGATCTTACTGACATTCATAGAATAAGAATACTTCATCCAACAACAGTAGAATACACATTCTTTTCAACTGCACACAGAATAGTCATCAAGATAGACCATATCTTAGTCATAAACCAAATCTTAAGTTCTTAAAAGGATTAAAACCACAAAAAATATGCTCACTGACCATAATGCCATTAAACTTGAAATCAAATACAGAATAACAGGAAGATAACTGGAAATTAACGCATTTCCAATAATGCATGTGCCAAAGACAACATTTCAAGGGAAATTAGAAAATATTTTGAACTAAGCAAAAACAAAAATAGAATAAAGGTCTCAAATCAACAATCTGAGCTTCTACCATAAGAAACTAGATAAAAAAGAGAAACATAGACCCAAAGCAAGTGAAAAAAGGAAATAAAGATAACAGCAGAAATTAAAAACAAAGGAACAATTGAGAATATAAATGAGCCAAAAACTGTTTTTTCTAAAAGAACAACAAAATAAACCTCTAGCTAAACTGAAAATGACAAAAGTAGAAAAGACACAAATTGCCAATAATCAGGAATGAAAGAAAGAATATTATTACAGACCTTATAGACATCAGCAGGCTAATAAGGGGAATCCTACAAACAACTCTATAGATAAATTTCACAGCTAAGATAAAATGGACAAATTCCTCAAAACCCCATGAACTACCAAAGCTCACCTATGAAGAACAAATGATGTTGAAACATTTGGATATCCACGTGCAAAAAAAGAACCATAGCCTATTCCTCACACCTTATACAAAAACTAACTCATAATTTATCTAAATATAACATAAAACTTTAAAAATTCTAGAAGATCACATAGAAGAAAATCTTCATGACCTTAGATTAGGCAAATTGTTCTAAATTGTGACACTGAAAATGCGATCCATAAAGGAAAAATGGATAGATTGAACTTCATCAAAATGAAAAACTTTTGCTGTGCAAAAGACAGTTGAGAATGAAAAGAATTACTGCAAACTCTGAAAAAACATTTGCAAACCACACGTCCAACAGACTTCTTTCCAGAACATGGAAAGAATCCTCAAAACTCAACAATAAGGAAATAAACACAGGAATGAATAAATGGGCAAAAGATTTGTGCAGACAGTTCACTAAAGAAGATATATAGATATGAAATAAGATGTTCAACAACATTAGCCATTAGAGAAATGCAAATTAAAACCCAATGAGATATCACTACACAACTATTTGAACGGCTAAGTGTTTTTAATACAACATGAAGAGCTGATGAGAGTGTAGAGCAACAAAAACTCTCAGTTATTACAGTTGGGAATGTGAAATGGTACAGCCACCCTGAAAAAGAGTTGAAATTTCTTATAAAGTTAAAATATATTTACCACATGACCCAGAACATAGTATTAGTATTTACCCAAGAAAAAACTTATAATAACACAAAATTATAAATGAATATTTAGAGTAGCTCTATTTATAATTGCCAACATTGGAAACAATCCAAATGTCCTTAAATAGATAAATGAATAAACAAACTGTGGTACAACCATACAATGGAATACTACTTAGCAATAAAAAGGGACAGACTAACAAAACAGCCACCATGTGGATGAATATCAGAGACACTGCTGAGTCTAAGAAGCCAGACTCAAAACTTTACATTCTGTATTGTTCTGTTCATATGACTTTCTAGAAAAGGCAAAACTACAGGGACAGAGAATAGAGTTTCTTGGAAGAATGAAACATTGTGGTGGTGGCTACACAAATCTATGCAAACTCTTGCAACTGTAGACTCCCCAGAAAGTTAGTTTTACTGTATGCAAGTTTTTAATATAATTAAAAGCAGAGTGGACATATCCTCCTAAGTACTTAGAATGGCAATTCTAGAATTTATGTCTGCATACATATGTGTAGGCTGAGCATTTGAACCCCACGGGTAGACCACCACACTCTTCCAACCTTGCTGGTCGAGGGCCTAACCCTTTATCATAATTTCATCTCCTAGGCCTTCCACTTGTGCTAAACAAAGCTTTAACCATTCACATGGCATTGAAACATGATTTCAACTGGAGATAACAGCATGCCCTGTCAGAACTTCTTGAATAATTTTTTACTGAATTGTGAACGTGGCCATTCTTAGTTTCCTAAAAGTCAGGAACACTGTCTTCCATTTAAAGTATCTTTATTCAGTCGCTAATTACTTTTTGGTGCTTAATGCCTGCTGTGGTTTGAGTTTGTCCTCTCTAAAACTCATGCTGAAATTTAGTCCCCAGTGTGGTGGTGTTGGAGGTGGGGCCTGGTGGGAGGTGTCTGGTCATGGATCCCTCATGAATAGATTAACACCCTCCTTTGGGGGTGAACTTGGGCTCTCAGAAGAATGAATTAGTTCCTGGGAGAGGGAGTTGTTAAAAACAGTCTGGCTTCCTTGTTTTCTCTTTTACTGCTTCCCTGTCCCTGTGACCTCTTTGCACATGCCCACTCCCCTTCTACCTTCTGCCATGCGTTGAAACAGCCAAGGCCCTTACCAGATGCAGATGCCCAATCTTGAACTTTCCAGCCACCAGAATCTTGAGCCAAATAAATGTCTTTTCTTTATAAACTATCCAGTCCTGGGTAGTCTGTTACAGCAACAGTAAGTAGACTAAGACATTGCCTTTTGGAGGAAGTTAGTGTGGTGCTGATGGATCTAAATCTAATACCTGCATGAGATTTTTGTCTTCCCACTTTGCTGTTTTTCAGATCGCCATGAGGTTATCTCCAAAGAAATATTGGAGCTCGACCCATGGGAAAACCAGTGGAATGTTGTAGCCATCAATGTCCTCATGCATGACAGCTATGATGTCTGCCTGGTGGCCAGGATGAATCCCCGAGACCTCATCCCCCCACCTTCAGATTTGGTGGAAGAAGACAATGAGCACTGAGTGACCTTGCCGGAGGACCTCCCACTGTGTCTGCACACAAGGCCTTCAGAACGGAGGGGACCCACAGCATCTCTGTCATTGCAGACATGTGCATTGCATGCGTAGTGGCCTGTGTGTGAAGAAGCAGTGTGTGCTTGGCACTGGGCAGGGAGCATGGGGAGTCTCCCTTCAGGGACTTCCAGGTCTGATAGGATAAATAAGACACTACAAGGTAGTGGTGATGATGGCCACAGGAGGGACACAGGGCAACAGGAGGGCAGAAGATGGAGGGTCTCACTCTGCTGGGGATTCATGAACAGCATTGCCAAAGAGCAGACCTTTTATTGGTGGTACAGTCAATGATGAGCTGTACAGTCATGGGTACAGTCAATGATCAGTTCATGGAAACAGCCGAGCAAGGGCCCAGAGGTAGAAGGCTTGTGCCTGTCTCCAGCATCCTGGCTGGGCCAGATAGCCTGGGACACAGGGTTTGCTCCCAAGGCTGGAAAAGTAGGTTGTAGCTAAATGACCAACCCCTGACAGAATGAGGAGTTGGACCTGGTTTGTAAGCCAGGGAATTGCCTTAAAACAGTGATGTTAAGGGAGACTGCTCTCTGTGCTCTGTTCCAGCTTCAGTCTTATAAACATTGGCCATTCTTCTTCAGAATCCCCTTCTACTCAAGCAACATCACCCAGCAGCAGGGCTAGCTATGGCTACCAGCCCCTAACAGCCAAGGCACTCAAGCCAGACCACAGTGAGCAGAGAATCCTGCCCTGGGTTGAGTCTGTCTGAGACAGGGATGTGGGGTTCTGCAGCCTGGTCTACTCCAAGGCTGACAAGGAGTGTCCTGGACTAGGCTTGCCCAGGGTGCCTTTGCCCACCTCTCAGACACACAAGACCTTCTGCAGGGCAGTTCTGGCTGAACAGGACTGGCCCAAGCCACTCAAGCAGGCTCTAGCTGAGGATAGGGAAAGCAGCATCTCTTCCAGCTGCTGCCACCCCTGTGACCTGGCCTTTGCAGTAAAGATGGAGCCATCCACTTCAGCCCACAATTGAGTACAATCAAAAGACCGTCACTCCCGAAATGTATGTTAGAAATGACATTTAAATGACACATGGGAAGTCCGTCTATCTTACTTCCTGTCTCAAATTCTGGAAGCACAGTGGATTCAATGAGTGCATCTGCATAGCTGTTCTTCAGCAACATCTCCTAAGAGTTTCACATTGCACAAGGCTCTTTTGGAAGCAGGAGTGGTCAGTAAATTCAGAGGGAGACAAACTGTAAGTAGAGACAGCTTTCTTTGGTGCTGAGCTATGTGACTGTGATGACTGCTAGCTTGTGTCCCCAGGTTCCAGCTGCCAACCAGGCAGGACAGGCAGGTCTTGCCAAAACTGGAGCCTATTGGAAATCTATTTCTGCCACCAAGGAGAGAGACCAGGAGACCCAGTGTAGGTTGGCCCCAAGTAGGCTCGACTCTAGGAGGGTGGGGGCCTTGCCTTTCTCTTCGCACCTGCACCCTAAGTGCACACGCAGTACCTGGCATGTGGATGACCTTTGGGTAGCCGGCATGGGGCAGTGTTTCTCAACCAGAGGGCCTGATCCCTGAGCATGTCCAGAAATCTGAGTTAGTGAGCTTACTCTTTCCCCAGGAGATGGTCATGATCTGTGCGTTCTTTTTCTTGCTGCAAAGATGTTCCTCCAAGCTGCTGTGTTGGCTGTCGGTTCCAGGGTGGAGGGCAGCCTCCGCAGGGCCTCTACTTCCTGTATTCCTCTTCACAGAGTCACTTTGCCTACTCTACCTGCTTGAACAGTCCAGAAAGCTGCTGTGTCTCCCTGGTTCAAGAAGGCCTTGTTGGCGTGGCATGGCATATCTTCTAGATGCTTTGGGTTCAAGATCTGGGCTCCAGCACCAGCTCTGCTACTTAGCTAACCATGTGAGCTCAGGCAAGATGACCTTTCTAAAGCCTCGTTTTCCTCATATGCAGAGTGGGAAGGAAAATATTAATACATACTTTATAGGGCTGATGTGAGGATTGAGTAAGTGCTGAGCAAAGTGCCTGTGAAATCCTGAAATAATAAGCATGCTTTAGCTGCCATTATTATCATCACAATCAGCACTTCCCAAAGCAAGGTGCCCAAAACAGACCCAGTGCTTTAATGCAGTCCCTTGGGATTTTAGGGGCAGATGTGCATATGGCTTGAGATGGTTCTTAATTTCCCATACCTTGCTGCTTGGCTTCTCCAGTTGGCAGCTAAGAGTCAAGCAAGGGTTTACTCAGATCTCAGGCCCCCGATGCCCTGGATGGACACATGGCAGCTCAGCAGAGGCACCTGAGGGTCGCACTAGGTGAGACTATCACCCACCTGTGGGAGGCAAGATAAATGGGTAAACACCATTCCTGTCTAATGCAAGGTCTGAGCAGTGTCCCAGTGGACCTTTCCAGAAAGGGCCGAGAGAGGACCAAGAAGGCGTATGACCTCTGCTGGAGCCAGGACGGTGGTGACCAGGACCTGGCTTAGCACCGAAGGGAGGCAGGCATCAATGGGCAGGATTTATCAAACTTCTTCTGAGGAACCCCCGAGGTCAAAATCAGTGCTTTGCAGATTTCAGATGTCTGAGCTTGATTTTTCTTTGATTCTATCACAGAGACAACAGATTGCTTGCCTGGGCTAGTGCTTATTTTAAGCTCTTGGTGCTTCTTGTCTGACTTCTGTATTTGCAATTAAAAACAACATGGCCAGCTGGGTGCGGTGGCTCACGCCTGTAATCCCAGCACTTTGGGAGGCGGAGGCAGGTGGATCACGAGGTCAAGAGATCAAGACCATCCTGGCCAACATGGTGAAACCCCGTCTCTACTAAAAATACAAAAATTAGCTGGGCATGGTGGCACGTGCCTGTAGTCCCAGCTACTCAGGAGGCTGAGGCAGGAGAATTGCTTGAACCTGGGGGGTGGAGGTTGCAGTGAGCCGAGATTCCGCCACTGCACTCCAGCCTGGCGCCTGGCAACAGACAAACTCTATCTCAAAAAAAAAAAAAAAACCATGGATCTCCCCACCTGCAGCCAGATATTGTTAGAAATTCAACTTTGAAGGCCAGGCACAGTGGCTCAAGCCTGTAATCCCAGCACTTTGGGAGGCCGAGGAGGGTGGATCATGAGGTCAGGAGTTTGAGACCAGCCTCACCAGCATGGTAAAACCCATATCTACTAAAAATACAAAAATTAGCTGGGCATGGTGGCGCGTGCCTATAATCCCAGCTACTCAGGAGGCTGAAGCAGGAAAATAGCTTGAACCCTGGAGCCGGAGACCACAATGAGCCGAGATAATACCACTGCACTCCAGCCTGGGCAACAGAGTGAGACTCCATCTCAAAAAAAAAAAAAAAAGGAAATTCAACTTTGAAATATATTCCTATTGCTCCTGTTTTCACTTTAATAGAAGGCTGTTACGGTACTGCACGATGGGCTCTTATAAAACTTCTACTATCTGCTAGTTCTTATCTTTATGACAGGATTGTTTGACACTGAGCAAGGAAACACAGTAAGTAATTTGGATGCTAGGCTGGCAGAAGCCTGCACTGTCAACCACATCCTGCCCCAGTGTGTTCAACACGGCGGCATTGTTCTCCCTGACTTCATAATGAGCAAATGCTTCACATTTGAACTTACAGAATAAATTTTTACTAATAAAAGATCACTTTCATTTTGTTTTTCACATTGCAGTTCCAGGATATGCTGAGGGTCCCATGAGCTAGGGAGTGACGACCAGGGGACAAGCAGCAGCAGGCCCAGGGCAGGGCCATGAGGCAGCGGGAGCAGCTGGGGTATCAGGGGCATCCCCAGGGTGGTACACAGGAGGGCAGCCAGGAAAATAGAGAGGCCGGGTACGGTGGCTCACGCCTGTAATCCCAGCACTTTGGGAGGCTGAGGTGGGTGGATCACCTGAGGTCAGGAGTTCGAGACCAGCCTGGCCAACAGGATGAAACCCCATCTCTACTAAAAATACAAAAATTAGCCGGGTGTGGTAGTGTGTGCCTGTAATCCCAGCTACCTGGGAGGCTGAGGCAGGAGAATTGCTTGAACCCAGGAGGCAGAGGTTATGCACCACTGGACTCCAGCCTAGGCAATAGGAACTCTGTTGTCGTTTGTGAATGGTGTCTACTTTCTCTTTTTTCTTTTTTTTCTTTTTTTTTTTTTTGAGTCAAAGTTCAGGCAACCTGGAGGCTACACCGAGGAGTTGGGTCTTTATCCCTCAGCAACAATGGCCTCAGGCAAGGTAGTCCACTAAGTACATCATCCACAGCCCAGCAGCACTGGGTAGGGTGGAGCAGGCCTGGCAAGACACATGTTGGGAGCCAAATCCAGGGAGCCTGGGCTAGCCTGGGCAGTGGGATCAGAATAACAGTGTGGGTTGGGTGCAGCCCAGGATGGAGGATGTTTGTGTTTGCTGTCAGATTCAGAGAACAGGGACAGGCCAGGATTTTGGCCAGGAAAGAATGGCCAGAGAGCCAAAGTCAAAGACCAGAATATCTTTCAGGGAGTACCCTATGGGCAACAGGACCTGCCCCTCCACCGGTGTTCCTAAAAGACAGCCGCCACCCAATGGCTTTGGCTATTCACACTTGACCCACCTGGGGGTCACCAAGAGACAGGAGAGGAGGCCCTGGGGTGTAGAGTCACATCACCCACTTTGCCAACTTTTGGACAGTCAGGTGTGCCCCTGCTCTTCCTCATTTACAGAGACAAGGACCCTGACCAAGCTTATATGCCCAGCACAACCCAGGCATAACAATAAACATAACAATCCCATTCCTTTACCAGGGGTTAGTTAGACGTGGCCATGTGGCACAATCCTGGCCAAAGAGACATAAAGGGAAGTTTGAAGAGGGGCTGGGGACAGGTTCTCTCACGTTTAAAAACAATGTTGAGGAAGATATGGGCTATTTTCTGCTTGGCAAGTTGGCCTGCCCCCTGGAACTGCAGCCACCACCCTGCAGTGGTGACAGAGCTGGCTGGAGACTGCCACAGGTGACTCAAACAGGTGGGGATGGGCCCTGCAGAATCCAGGGCCTTGGTGATGTAATCAAGCCACTAAATCAATCAGGTAAGAGACTTTTTGCCAGATGCTAATTGTTATGATAAATGTTTCTTATTGTTCAGGCCACCTTTAGTTACTTGTAGTTTAGGATTTCCTAAGTGGTACTCCAACCTTCCCCTACAAAGCCACCTTCTCTTGGGATGGCATTTGTTACCCCTGCCAAAGAGGAGGACTCAGACAGTCCCTGGCCCCTGGGATGTCAGGTGACAAGGTTGTCATTCACTGCAGTGGGGTAGCTTCTGCAGAACTGCTGAGAGCTGATGGTTTATGAGCCTGAGTCACTTCTTAGCTATTTCTCCAGTATTGCTTTTTCTCTCAGATCTTCAGCATATTTGTTTGTTTACTACAAGTCCCACCCGACACTCATTTTTGTAAACGTCTTATTGGAACACAGCCATGCTTATTCATTTCTGCACCATCCGTGGCTGCTTTCTGTATTGTCTATGGCCCTTTGCAGAGAACACTTGCCAACTTCTGGTGTATTTCATCAAATTTTCTTGAAGAAAAATACTGAGCTAAGGCAATATATGTGCTATAAAGGAATATATATGAATATTCCTCTGTGATATACTACACACACACGCATGCACGCACGCACATATATATACATTATATATATACATACATATATATACACACACACACACACACAAAAGACATGGCTCTAACCTATTCTTTCACTAAACAATATTTCTTAAAGACAGTGCTCCATATGGGAGTGTGTGGATCTGCCTGTTTCTAACACCTGGTATTCCATCATAGGTGTAGCAGAACTTTGTTAATAAGTCACTCAGAGCTGGAAATTCCTGTTGTTTCCCACAGCTATTGTTCTGGTGGGCAGCAGGGGTAGGGGCATATGACCATCCCATCTTTTGCTAGGGGTTGGCAATTGTTTAGAAGGTGGCCTTTGCATTGCACTTAGGTTTTCTGTAGGCACTCAGGAGCACCAGAGACAGCCCTGGGAGGCTCCCATTGTGCTGGAAGTGGCTTCAAGCCACTTAGAGGCACTTGGGCTTATTGAGAGATGTGGCGGGTGGTAGCCAAGCAGGCCAGCCTCACACGAAGCCTGGTCTCCACTGCAGAGAGGAGCCCAGGCAGGGAGTGAGCAGCCAGCACTGAGAGAACTGAATGACACAGGTGTAGGCTGGCATCTCTTGGGAAGCCACACTCGCCCTGCAGCGCTGAGACACACAGGAGCCCATGATCCTCCAGCAGCCATGAAGCAGTGGAGAAACTTATGGCCCAAAACCGCAACAGAAGCCTCCAGCTCCATGGCCAGATGTGGGTGGAGGCAGAGGGAAGGCCCACAACTAGCCTACAGCCTCCCCGCAGCCTCGCCTTTGCCCTTCCCCAGCTGTGGGCCTGCAGGGCACCCAGCATCCCCAAAGTGAAGCATCTGAGGGCTGAGCCATGATGAGGGTCGCCCTGGAATGGTGGGGAGCAAAGTGTCCCGAAGGCTGGGAACCAGCAGCTCCGGCTCCAGGGGCAGACCTCTCTTTCCCCTTTCTCCAGCTTGACTTTTTCAGCCTCTGGAATCCGCTGCCATTTTTGTGGTTTGCAGCCCGTCCTCCACCTTCCAGGCCGGCAGCTAAGCCACCCAACTTTGCTTGTCATCACACCTTCTTCTCTGACCCCTCTTCTACATTCAGGACACTGGGGTTACACTGGGCCCACCTGGACAGCCCAGGATGCTCTCTCTCTGACCAGCGGCCCCAGCCTCCTTGCTATGTGATATGACCCGCTTGGGAGGTTCTGGGTTCTGTGGACCTTTTAGGGGAATCATTATTTTGCCTACTACAACCCGTAAATCCCCATAAAGTACGGTCATCACAGATGCGCACGTGTGGCATTTATAGGATTTCACAAACACACCGAGGTCGGGAACCCCAGTGAGGAGGGAAAGAGGAGCACACATACAGATGCCTGGTCCTTACAGCACGCTGCCCTGCAGACCTCCATGACCAGCAAGGTTGCGCTAAGAGGTTCTGGGAGATTCTCTGCTCCATGGAGTAGCTGGAGGAAGCATGCAGGCCTGGGGTGGGCGGCAGCCCTCTTTCAGTTGCAGATGAAGCTCACACCGTGGAAGGAAAACCACAGAGCAAGAAGAACCAGGCCACTGACCACAGCACGGTGCCCCTGTAGGAAGCCAGGCCAGAAGCCTGCTGTACCTCTGCCCCTCCCAGGTTTCAAACCAACACATCATATCTCCTTGTGGGTAGGTTTTCTGTTTCTTGCATCCCAAGATATCTTGAGGATGGCGCAAGAAGTAGGA